CTGCTTTTTCCTGCCTTTTTGCATGGCTACACCAGGCCTGTCTTATACAGTTTCCTCCCATCTTACCGACCGCGCCTATCTTTCTGACTCGACCTAGCTATGCCAAAATTACAAAAATAGCCAAAAAGCGGACACAATTGGGCAATACCTGCCGACCTGCGACACTGACTGGATCTGTTGCACGATCAGACCGCTCGCAATTGGACGTAATGTAAACATTTGTGCCGCGAACGAAACACATCGATTGAATGTAAGCACCAACGCGAGCTGTGCTGACGATTGCGTATCTACATTTAGCTACGCAAAACCTATCGTATGTACTGCAAATCGGGCACCGTAACCAGCCCATGCAGTTCAAACTCTGCGATGTTATTTTCCACACGTTTTTCAAAAGAGAGACGATATTATTTTTATGGCACCGTAACCAGCCCATGCAGTTAAAGCTCTGCGATGTTATTTTCCACACGTTTTTAAAAGTAGCGACGATATTATTTTTATTAGTACTATTACTACTAAAAGAGGCTTAACGACCTTCGCGCTATTATAGTTGCACCCGGACACAGCACTGCATGCGCGAATGGTACGTGTTGTTATTGCTAAAAAGTATGTTTGGTTTAAAAATAATAATATCATTATTTAAGCGATTGCCAAAAATTTAAATTTTTGTTTTGTTTGATAGTGAGTACCGGCATTAATTTTATGGCCGTGTATTGGCTAATATTTTGACGTACTTTATTGGTTAAAATATTATCATGTTTATGATATAATGATACTATTTAATATTTTGCTAAATATTAAACACCCAGCAGTAAGTATCCGTAAGAATACCTAATATTTTTACGCACGTCAGTAATTATATATGCTTTTTCACAGTTTGCAACATGGCGAGGCCCATGTGCAAAACCAATATTGACCCACTTCTGCTAAACCCGCAGCGGTCTACGACGGATGCCCGGGCGTGCTGCGTCTGCTGCGGGAGGCTACACTACGGTTACGCATTCCGTACAATCAGCGGGCGGGACATCGTGCTGCGCTGTAATGCCTGCGAGAACGGCCCAAAAGCGGTTAAGAACTGAGGGGAAAGCCCCCCCGCCACCTGGTTCGGCCGAAGTACGGCGCCAGAAGAGCCTGGCAAACGTCAAGAAGGCAACGGGTATTGACTGGTACCCAAGAAGAAAAAGAGGCGCAGCCGCCCAACAAACCACACGAAACGCCAAGTACATCGAGCAAAAGAAGCAGCAGAAGAGCAAGTAATTGGAATATATGCTATTTTAGGCCCCCATTTTCCTACATATGTTTATGCTTAGTATTCTGGTTGACGGAGCGAGGCTTGGAGCGGCACATACGGTAAAGTGACTATGGCACTGCCAATAGTGTTGACGCACCTATAGAGCGGAACGCGTTTCATATAATAATTAGCGCATGGTTTTACCCTTGTAATCTGACCGTTTCTATGTGCATACACGTACACTCGCTCACTTGGGCTAAGGCAAGACCACGCTATCTGTATTGTCAACGTTCACTGCGTATATTTCACTAATGTGCGCTCACAAATTGAAGCTACAGTACTGAGTGAGCACTACACGCGACGAATACATAGCTGTCTACGTAGACACGAATTGGCCGGGATCAGAGCTGGGGATGTTTATACGTGTACCCGCCGCGCGCGTATATATCTGCGAGCAGACGTGCGGTCAGCTATCCTGTATCTCTGCGGTATGGCATGTGCCGAGTTAGCAACGCGCCTGGTCATATAGACTGGTACATCAGAAGCGTAAGTACAGTAAGTCAGCACGACGACGCAATTATACCGAAAGAGCGACAGTGACCCTACACATAGGTTTTGGCTCTCACGAGCGCGTGGTATACTCACTCATTCACGACCTTGCGATATATGCACGGACATATCAAATAGCACGCTGAGCTGATAGGTATGCAGCAAAGGTACTTCATATAATGTACATGAGCCACATTTCAGATTAAGTCTAAACATCACTACAATTTGATACTCTGCCTACAGCCATGTAGCTTTGTGTGTTTGGCATACATTTAGGAGCCAGTAAATGCCAGTCGGAAAGGATCTACGCCACTCTGTCGGCCCGTATCTATGCACATACGTCCGTAAGTGCGTCAGCTATGCAAGTATGATCAATGCATGCGAAAGATAGTGTAAAGGCCCTTCAGTAACATCATAAAGAGCTCAGCGGGACAATTTTAAGGCATAATATTGATGTTTGTGGTGACCATCGGCAAATACTACCTGCCCTAAACGATACTTCGCCCGAGGAGATGACCAAACCTTGCTCTAATAGACCGTCGCAATTAAAGATATGGTGTCGACTGCCTCACGACGACGTGCAGATGGGTAAGATGTTTGAGTAGGCGTATTTACTCCAGCTAAACTGGGATTTCTCACCGATATATGCCAATTTCATAGCATCATTAATACTGACCCCTCTTCCGAACAGCATATATTACATTTGCAACCTCGGGTGCCCCAGATTGGAGTCATTTTGGGAGCTATGCGCTCAAATGAGATTATAGACAAATCCTTCCAGGATAAAATGGTGCACATTTGCAGATCACGCTAAACCCAGGCCATGTCTACCTTTACTATGACGATCAACAATACGCATTTGATCTAAATCTATCACGCGGGTATCTATCTGTAACATCCAGCTGTCACGCCTACATATTTATATGTGATGTTTCCAAAAATGACTTTAAGAAATGCTAGCGGTACACGATTTAGAGGCGGACAGTGAGGCATTACATGAGAGCACTAAGGATATTGTGTACGGTGTTGTTTTGAACCGTAACATAAGTAGATCACAGTATACATATGTTATATGTAGCTTCGTCTTGACTATACACTCTAAGCCCACCACAGCGCATCGGAGTCAGACAGCCCACACTACACCAACCAACCATGCCCTAGCGCCCGCCCAGAGCGCTAGTCTTAAGCATCAAATACAGCAACTTTTCTGTCCGTCACACTAAATTGTCGTGCCTGTCACGCTTTTCCGGACAAATCATTGGATAAAATATTTTAAATATTCTTACTGGCTGCCGAGCGCAGCGAAGGTGGCCCCGATTGGCCTAAAAGCTGCCGAGCGCAGCGAGGCGGCCCAAATCGGCACCCGCCTTTGGGCCACAATGTAACGGGGTACGTAGCCCTAAGTGAACCCCGGTTACATGAAGTGTGACACTTCACACTTCAGGAGTATGACACGTCATACTCCGGGATATTTGGTACAAGGTACCAATCGACACCAGCCATAAAGCTGATCTGATGAAAGTTGTCTTACTTTCTGTTGCAGTATAGAGGCATTTTGTCTATATTATGAAGAATTGCCCACTGCCATCGAGAATACATGAGGTGTTTTGTGCAAATTCGGTCACTGAGCAAAACTTTCGCGTGTTCACAACTAATCGTCGCCAAGCAGTCGCCAGGCCATTCTTCATCAAGTAGGAGGGTCTTCTCAACAAATTTGGCACATAAGAGAAAAAAACAGTTGCAAAATGGATCTACGGGAAGTGCCGACACAGCTTCTGTGAACCAGATAGATTTATTTAAGAAAATGCTTTCAAAGAAAGAGTGCTTATCCTCACAAATTTATCCAGTGAATCAGGCACAAGTTGTCCAGTAGTGCGTCCTTTGTATCATTGACGAGGCGATTGTTAGCTGATACAGATACCGGAAAATACATACATTAAATTTTACCTATTAAAACTCAAAGAAACCACCCAATTCAGAAAAAAAACTATATTTGCATTCCCAGTGTAAGTCGCAGACGACTACATGTAAACTTGCGAGATCTAGAAATGAACCACGACAGCTTCGAATTTCACCTCAGCGAGCCGCTCAGTGGGGGATACAGTACAAGTAAAGACTGCAATGGCGATTGGCTCGATCAGACCTTGACACCTGTCCAATCAGCACGGCGTCGATGTGTGTAATGGCGATGCGGATGGCGTTCACGGCTTCAGCGTCTACGATGAAAGCAATGAAGCCCTTGTAAAAAAGCAGCTTATTCTTCCGCTCGAACACCTTGTGTAGCACCTTGGCGAGTACATTGAGAGCCTCCTCCGTAGCGAGTGCGGTACTTCGTCTGTAGCTGTAGCGAAGTCGTAGTCCACCAGATCCGTAATTTCATTCGAGAGAGCACTTATTCAGGGTAATTGTTGGCGTTGATGGACGCGCGTCTCCGCGTCGCTGTGTCCGAGGCGAGCGATTCCGCCGGATCATCGTATTCCAGCACCTTCGTGAGCCTATAGAAGTTGACCTTGGAGTTGTGCAGCTGGTCGTCACGGGGCACATGTTCGATGAATCCGAGTCCCACAATGACATTTCCATACTTCGTCGGTCCTCTGCAGAGCCACTGATCGACATCTCTCGAACGGCGTCACCTCCCGTAAAGGCTTCCTTGTAAAAGTTGAACCTCAAGTGTCGAGTAAAGTAGTGTTGTACTTGTATTGAGGAAGCGGCGTAGCGACTGGAAAAAGACCTTTGGTAATCCCTCAAGGAACGAGATGTTGATGCTTTTGAGTCTGCGCTTCTTTCGACGGCACGAGGTCGTCCAATTGGTCGGATCTTCATCGAACGTATCTCCGTCTGGTCCTTAGGGTCGGTACTTCTCTCGCGTAACTTATCATCTCGGTCCCTTTGCTCCCTCCCCATCGCTCTCAATGGACGACGATTTCTTTTTCTTTTTTTACTGTAGTAGTTTTTTTTTATAATACGTACAATTTAACCGTGAAATACTGTGCCTTTACAGTAAGAAGACATTTGATTTGTAGTATTTCCGCATTATGTTTTTTCAGTGACCGATACTCCTTCCGGTCATAGAACGAAGATAGCCAGCAACAATAAGAACATGTACGTGCTTTTTTAAATGATATCGTCCTAAAGAAGACCCAATTTACTCTACACCGGATCAAATTAAATCGTGGTTCCCATTCCGTCGTGGGCGTAGTCGCCCGACGCCCGGGCGACCACCTTAGATAAAGAGTCCAGTGATAGCGATTGCGGCCACCGACACCAGAGCGATGTTGGGAGACACGTGCGAGGAGCCCGAAGAGCCAGAAGCCGCAGCTGATGCTGACGCAGAGTCCGAGGCCTTGGCGGTGCTACTGCCGGCGGTCGATTCCGAGCCCGATGCGCTGATGCTTGTCTCCGTGGTCACGTTGCTGATGCTGTCCGAAATGGCTGCAGCCGTGTTAGTACTGGTCGAGTCCGTGAGGGTGGCGGCGCTATCGGTCACCGTGTCGGCGGCGTTGTTCACTGATTCGGGCGTTGTGGATGCTTCAGCGTTGGCGGCTCGGGCGATGCTGTTCGGGTCCGGGATGGCCGAAACGGGCGAAGTCACTGCCACGACGGCGAGGGCCATAAGCGCGAGGTACGTCATGAAACGGGCCATTGTGAAGGTTTATCTGCTAGCTGGAGGTGGTAAGGTACAGGTCGAGCGTCGAGTGCGGCGCTTTGCTGTGGGGCGGCTTCTTTTCCGAGTGAGCCGCGGACAATTGCTGTAAGCTTCGCAATTTTCCGTCCACACACAGTAACATGGGAACGACCGGGTGACCATCTCAAGAAGCCGTGCATGAAGTGATAAAGCTGTGCGAGCCCAGCCCTCTCGACGATCGGCTGTACAATGTACTACATTATGTAGCTCCATCTGCTTGTGCCGAAGATGCAAGTCGGGATGCGGAGACCCTGGAGTGCAAGCCCTTTAATGGCGATATGCCATCATAAATGAAAGGATCTTCAAGTGCTTGCACAGCAATTCAATTCTTTTTTTTCTAAAATATAACTTGTATCTGGAATACCGGTACCGTTTTGGAAACCAGGCCAAGAATTAGTAATTTCTGGAACCGTCTATGGAGCGCGTTGGACGCGGCGAAAATTATCTCCATAATTTGCTGCTGCTTGTCTGTCTCTGTCAGACGTTTCTGGCCCAACAGTTATGTACCGGTTACTGTACCTTGTTGGTCTACTAGACCAGGTCTAGACTCTAGACCAGAGAGGTGATAACCTTGCACGACATAACGCTGCAAAACAATTCATTCGCAGAACGGACATGGATGTCAAAAGGCATCGCTTTTGCTGCATACTTGTCAATGTCGCGACCTGCTCGAGCGGTGTTCTCTGCGTCAAAGCTGTTTTGAGTACACTTGAGCTAAACTGCGTCTGCCGTTCATGCGTCATTTCGAGTACCACTTTGGAACAAAGATTAACCCGAAAAACGGTCAAATCTGATGGTCCAAAAATATATTCTAAACGATTCGTTATGTCAAGTATTGGGGTAGTCTATCCGTCATTTATTCGAATTTTGTCCTGAAAACAAAGGAGCTAAAGCTCTCTATGTACTGTCGTATCAATGACAATATGCATTGTCGCCCATGGTGGCTTAGTCCACAGCTGGATATCCAATATAAAAGTCCATGCCACAGTCGTCCAAGATATTGCTGGTACTCCTGACCCCACTAAGCGATAAAATACCGCTCTAGTCGGTCAGAACCCGTGCAGATAAGTACAGGTATGCATGTAGGACACGCAGTCTTGCTAAGAAACTTGTTGCTCTTTACTATTATTGTAGTAGTAGTGATGAAGGCTGAGCGGTATTAAGCAGTACTACAGAACATATAATATGTGGTACCGGTATTAATAATAATACATGTATTTATGCGGGCTAACCTATTGGAAATGTCGCTCGGTTTTAAGGCCAAGATCAAGCGCGCATAAAAACCGGCGTAAAACTGAGAAAGGAAAGGTAAGCCTGGAATTATTAAATCTGCACTCGATTTGCGTTTCAAAAACGCAAAAAGGGTCGTCTAAAATAATATCGATGTCGATTTGTCGTAAATCGACCACGAGGGCTAGATTTGGCTTGTCGTAGCTCGATTTGCTAACTCGACCGATCTTTCCCTTTTTATAACCTCGGTAAATAAAATGACCTCGATTTACTAAATATCGAGCACCCACCATAGTGATAAATGACAAAAGCTTTGCAAAGCACAGTACAACAGCCGACACAACTTTTGATCGGGTTAAATAGGGGTTGTCAATGCTCGCAGATTTGGCAATGACAACACGTGGTCAGAGCAGGCACAGTTTCTTGGTATCGGTAAAGGGACTATTGGAGACTACCTGCAGCGTGCGTCGGGCGCGTTGCTGACATGAGGCGCTAGCACGGTTGCGTGGCCAGACGAGCTTGAGCGTAGTCAAATATCGCGACGCATTTCCCGTAAATATGGGTTTGTAAATTGTATTGGTATGGTTGATGGCACGCCGTTGCGACTTGAATCTAAGCCATCAAAGAAAGGTGAAGCATACTATTCGCGAAAAGGATTTTACGCAGTAAATGCTCTTATCGTCTGCGATGATGTGGCAAGGGTACGTCAATTTGTTGTGGGATGCAGCTCACGACAATAGAGTTTGGAGAAACAGCCCACCAAACCAGAACCATCAAGCTTTCTTCCGCTACAAAGCATACCTTCTTGGAGACTTAGCCTTCCAAGCTTCATGTGTGATGGTCCCGGCTTTCAAGAGGCCAGCAGGAGGTAACAGCCAACTGGCTGTTAAAATAGGCGTGAGCAGGATTCATCGTTCCTCCTAGCCAACTGGCTACTGCCAGGATTAAATCAGAAACATTGCATTGGGCTGCTTAAGACTATTGAACTGAGAAGGCACTTGAAGTGGAAGACGCAGGCGAGGGGAGGTGGCTGTTCTCCCTGAAGTTGTTGCCTCTTAGGTACTTAGCAAAAACAAAAGTGAGAAGAGCTTTCTTGTCCGGACTTGGGGTGTCCAGAGAAGCTCTCCATCTACCAACCATATAGTCTATCATCCTACACACCAACTATCCCTGAGAATCTGTGTTCTGTGCTATCGCAAGCGTTCACCCGCAGCTTGGTCGCACTGACAATTCAACAAAGACTAGGTTTCAATATCTGAATGGCATTCGGTCTCTATTGGCTAAGCGGCGACACTTACGCAGAATCATTCGATATGTCACGTGCAGTTTACACAATTTGCTCATTGCAGAACCGGTTCCTGAGGAGTGGGAAGATGACATCCAACGATACGGTGCATCCTCGAACGATCTTGATGAGTTTGACGAGCTGAACATGGCCGCTACTGACGCTGGAGGGGAGAAGTGACGCAACCAGCTTCTGGTGTACCTGCTGGAGGTCCGGGGCTAAACGGAGCAGCATGGGCGAGTGGAAGAACCGCGTCAATTTCATCTTGAGGAACACCTTCAGCTTTAACCCTTTAAGACCTGAGGTCGTCTTAGAGTCCCTGCCAGGGCCTCCAAAAATGTAGCCAATAAGATTAGCGTATTTCGCAATTTCTACCAATGACTTATGGTCATTTACTAAAGTGGTATCTTTCTGGTCGAGTCTTAGAGACAGGGCACGACAGAAGGGACTGGCAAACGTTCTATAAATGTATATATAGCCAATCGTATGCTTACGTAAGAGGCCCCCTGAGGGACTCTAAGGCTTAGGTCCTAAAGGGTTAAGTTTTTTTCTTTCTCGAAGAAGAGTCACCAGACGCTGAGTACGCCAATGCTCCGCTTCTTCCTGGAGCTTCACTGTATTTGCATTAAGCTCGGCAATACGGGCCTCCGCTTCTTGCTCTTTCTTCTCCGATTGGTGCTGGCGAAACTGTAATTCTTGCCTTTGAATAGTTATTTTTTCAACTCGATTTCGTTTTGCTGAACAAGCTGTGCTTCTTTTAGTGACACTAGCACTTGGTGATCCACAAGAGACACTCGTTGGGGTTTCGTTTTTGCGGTGGATGTAGCAATTGAGCGAAGCCCAGTAACCGGGCGCTTACCCGATTGACGATTTATCTGCCTCGTGCCCGAGCTACTGCCAGTAGTACCCGTACCCGTAGGCGTAGCTGCTCCTGTACCAGAAGTAGCTATTTCGCCCGGCGAACGAGAGTTATCCTCCATAGCTCCTTGTGCCAGCTGACGGACGTCTACCGAGTTTTGAATGTCGTTATCGCCGTCGGATGAGCTCTCACTGCCGTGATCACTGTAGGACAATCCCTGGTCGGTGTTAAGGAGAAGAGGGTGAGTACTTGGGCTATCATCCATTATGGGATGCAGTTCATAGAAACTAGGACACCTGTGTAGGATGGCGGCTCGTAGATCAGCTTCGCTCTCGACACCCTGGCCTGTGTTGCTCAGCCAGTCAGAGGCTACTCGAAAACTAGTTTCTAACCCGATATCTTGTTCATAACATCTTTGGGAGCACGAGCAGTCTTCACACCACTGGCCGATATGGCCTCGACGACTTCGCCCGCCAAAGTTTGCTTTGTTTCACCACTTTGTCCTTCGCCGCCATGATTACGATGGTAATTGTTGCCGTCAGTCATCCACTTGATTAGCACACTAAGAGAGCTCACACTTGGATCTGGGCCGTCATTGTGCCACGATATACGCCTTTTTAAAGAAAGGGCAGCTGTTTCCAACCGCACGGCCTTCAGAATGGCATTATTGCCAACGCGAACGCTGCTGAGTCGCGTGGCATCGCATCCCATTTTGCGAGAATGGCTTGCTTGTTCGTCTCATAGTCACGTTCATCGGAGTAGTGCAAATCGTACAAGTCCACGAGAAACCCCTTATTCTGGACGGGGTCAACACCCTTGACCCTAGCTTGCTTGAACCCATTCTGGCAAACGTGGAACCAGCACATCAACACTTTGGACGTAGGCAACTCGGCAAGGCTTGCGTTCCACTGTGCCTTGTCGGCGTCCGACATAACAAACGCTGGAGCGAAATCCAAGCGGAATTGTTCAAAGCAGACCCTTTTCATGAACTCCAGGTACCACGAAATATCTTCTTCGCGTCGTCGGGAGATGCAGAAGTATGCGATCGAAAAACAATGACCGCCTTTGTCAGCGCTTTCCCGCAGACAACCTTTTCGAATTGATCAACGTCAGAGAAAGAAGCTAGCATGCTTGCTAAACAAGAGCGGTGAATAGTGCTCGCACACCCGCTGTTGCTGCATGGAACCAGGCTTGAGTCTTCGTCCGTTATCTTTAACACATCGGCGACACGATTTCCACTTTTAATAGGCCATGGCCTTTTAAAGATCTTTGGCAAAAAAAAAATGTTTTAGCAGCTGACTGACCAGCGCAACTTTTCGTACTGTTTGCCAAATATGTTTTCATCCAATCAGGGACCTGAATAAAAACTGACAAACAGTAGAAAAAAAAGTTACTAGCTGCTGCCGACATTAACAACCCCTAATGGTTAAAGGCCGGTATTTTATCTCCCCGATGCAGCGGGATGATTTGACCACATCGCTGACTTCCGTCCTTTGTGTCATACATGTAGAGGAGCACTATTAACTGAGCTGTCTGGTGGTCATCACTCCTCCCCTAGGCTGTCTGGAAAGTTTAAAATGAAAC